CAGAGCATTGGATTCCTGGCCTGTCCTAACACTGTATTTATGTTGTTTAAGTCTAGTTGCAAGATCTTTACCTGTCTGGCCTAAGTAAAACATATTACATTCCTTGCAAGGAACTTTATAAATGCAACCAATTGTGTTGTTGGGGGAGTTCTTGATTAACATTTGTTTAACAGTGCATGAGTGCATCTAAATGGTTAGTTTCTTTACTAAATCCCCTAGTTGGAAACATTTCTAACTCTAATATCAAGAATAATATAGATTTGGTTGATAAACTCAATAACTTACACATTAATTATGATTTTAAACTGGTCAGTTTGATTTATCACTCTTTACAAAGGTCCCAGTTGATGATTTACTGGAGTTCTCAGATTCCTGGACAATATTTCATTGTCCGCTCTCAAAGACGTCTTCAACTCATCAATCAAACTGTAAATTTGAATCAATGGAGAACATTATGCTCAAAAATTTGGTATGGCAATAATCCACTCACCAGTATTAAGCAACCTATATATGGAATTCTTTGAAAAGAACTATTAAGTAATATTTTACCACCTTCAGCAGTCTGGTTTAGATATGTTGATGATGTATTATGTCTCTGGCCATGTAATGAGACCCAAAAGCTTTCCCCACAACTAACAACTTAGCCCCCTCGATCAAATTCACTATGGAATTAGAGCAAGACTGTAAATTGCCCCTAGACTGTCTGATACACAGAATAGGTAACACTTTTAAGTTCAGTATTTATAGAAAACCAACTAATGTGTGTTCATTCATTCATTATTATTCTGCCCACCATAATAGAGTCAAACAGTCAGTACAACATACATGCTTGAGAATTTGCAGTCCGAATTCATTGATGAGGAATGCAAATATACTCTTGGCTCAAACCTTAAATCAGATCTTTCATAGACAAATGCCTAAACATTACTAAGAAAACTATTTATAGAACTGATCCAAAGCCAACCCATGACCATAAGAATATCTTAATATTACCATTTCACAAAAATTTCTACACATTCCTTCACAACTAAAAACCTGAACGCCAATGTGGCATTTAAAAACCATGCACTGTTAAACAAATGTTAATCAAGAACTCCCCCAACAACACAATTGGTGTACTTTATAAAGTTCCTTGCAAGGAATGTATTATGTTTTACTTAGCCAGACAGGTAAAGATCTTGCAACTAGAATTAAACAACACAAATACAGTGTTAGGACAGGTTGAGAATCCAATGCTCTGTTTGTTCATTTGAGGGATAACAAGCATTGCATTGACTGATAATGCTTCAATATCTTGTAATTCAATTGATAGTAGGAACATTATAGAATCTAGTCTTATTAAACATACCGAAGCATTCAAAATGAATTTGAGTAATGGCTCTACACAAGGCAATTTTGTAATAAGAAGATTTGTAACCAGGTTAGAAAGTTAGTACCTACCTCTGACCTGACCACCAACCGTTGAAGGCTTTTTAAAGATTAGTAGGCATTACCTAATACCTGACCATTGGACCTGGTCTCACCCCTCCTGTATATATACACTGGTTTGTATTTCTTTAGTCTGTACTCACCCTGAAGATGTAAAATTTTCTTATATCCCATATATATATATATATATATATATATATATATATATATATATATATATATATATATATATATATATATATATATATATATATATATATATATATATATATATATATATATATATATATATATATATATATATACATAGTGAACCTCACTTATGTCAATTGAACCACGGAGGCCCTATAGTTATAGAACGCATAAAGTGAACAACATAACATGTGGGATTAAATGAAATAGAGACCGTTCAACCCCCAAACTCACTTTTTGAAGCACACACTATGTAGTAAAATAACATCTTAATTAGATGGTACATGCACACAATTAATACTTAAGAGAAATAGAGAAATACAGTCGCCAAGTTAATGTCCATTCAAATAATGGACTCCACTCCTTTTCTCACACTTGCTGGCTCTTTTCCTCTCTGAGAAATGTTTGGGAAAACCACTAGATTTTAAATAAAATACCCAAACTAAAGTTAGATAATATAATGACATTGTAGATCTCAAGACCAGGAATATTTTTAATATAAATGTCATATATTTGCAAACAAAAGATAACATATTTACTCAGAGTAAATAGATCAAAAATTAATGCAAAATCTATGATGTTTATATTCAAAATGATCATCAAATTGTAAGAATTCCAGCAATGTAAATTATATTCTGGCTGTATGAATTTTATGAGTTAAATAAAAATTATACCATTATATGAGTAGATGCAAAGTAGAATTCTGGTTCTGGCAGGGTACCACGAATGTAGAACGCCAGAAAGTGAAACCGAGAAAGCGGGGTTCACTGTAGTAAGTATAAATTAAACATACTAGAACCTTAAATCACTACTGTAATGTGATACAGGTGATTAATTTTATCTCTTGTGCAAAATATAAGACGTTTATATTCAAATTATTCCTGTCTTGCACAGCAATGTTTATCTCAACTTTAGTTTGAGATATTATATAAAATAAACACCTTAAAAAACACACCTTGTCCAAAGGAGAGTGGAGTAAAGAGGGGAGGCAGGGGGAGCGGGAGGTGAGGTGACAGATAGTGGCCGGTGAAGTATAATTTGTTTATTTATTTGAAATTTTTGGTTTTAGCTCATAAAATTCATAGAAATTACCCAGCCAGAATATAATTTTCATTGCTGGAATTCTTATAAGATAGTTATTAATTTGAATATAAACAAGCTAAAATTTGCATTAGACATACAAATTTGATATCTAATTTAAGAATTTTATTAGGGAGAGCAAAAAATTTATCTTTTGTGCAAAATATATGACGTTTATATTCAAATTATTCCCTGTCTTGCAAGGATTTCAGCAATGCAAATTATAATCTCCTAACTTTAGTCTGAGGTATTATTTATTTTTAAGCCTGTAAATCTAGTGCTTTTCCCCAAACATTTCTCAGGAAGGTGAGGGGGTAGGGAGGGAGGGAGGGGTGACAGTGACATGTTTAACAGTTGGCGCCTGTGGTGTGAAGTATTTAATTGTTAATTTATGTCCTTTAGATTGAGTTTTTGTTTTTTGCTTATAAAATTTAATAGAAGTGACCGGGGTGAATTTAATTTGCATTGCTGGAATTCTTATAAGATAGTAATTAATTTGAATGCAAACATAGAAGAGATCACTGAATTGGCCAAGTACCTCCTCAGCTTATCAGCTGATGTTGAAAACAATATGTGATTTTCGTAAGGATTTTGTTAATCAAATTTTTTTTCGTTAACTGAATTGAAGATTGTTAAGGAAGGTAATTCGTTAACCAAAATTTCGTTAACCGAGGGACCACTGTACTGTACAGTGCCTGTATTAGATGATCATGCCCAAGAAGCTTTGAGACTTAACATATTGTAAATGTGTGCAAATGAATATAAGACACAAAGGCCTGACAGCCCATCATGGGCAGTGCAGATACAGTAAATAAGGAGAGTGTGACCAACACTGCACTCAACCACTTTCATGAAAGTTAGCTGGGATGTGAACCTGTAGCCCAAAGAAAAGGCAGCTCGTGCTGTACCTACTCCGTCATTACACACCTGTATTTCTGTACAAAACCCCATTTCTGTACTTATACTGTATGCACAGTATACTATACATATACATGTCATATGAAGGTCCAACTGTATACAGTATTGATCTAAAAGTATGGCTAACCAACCACCAAATAAGAGGCAGAACTTTTTAACTGATTACTTCAATATGTTGATATGGAGGAAGAAATGGATGAATCGATGCCTCTGTCATGCACATACCAACAAGAACATGGCAATGACCACACCTCAGGCCCCACACAACAGAAGGAGGAATCTGACAGTGATGTCACAACCGATAATCGTGACACAGCCATGAATGTTCCATGAATTGCTCTGAGGGTTTTATAGGCCCCACACAACAGGAAGAGCTCTTTAATAATGAAGTTGATACATGGTCCAATAATTTTTATTAATGTTGCCTGTATAATGATTAATACATATGCTTACAAGTATTGTTCCCACAAAAAAAATTATTTTTTTTTTTTTTACATTTGGGGGACATTTTATTTCTCATAGGAACATACCTCTCTGGGGTAAGAGAAGGGAGAGGGATACGACATAGTGAGTTAATTGTTTATAATTGTCGAACGAGTGACTTATATAACAATAAGAGATTTTAATGAATTAACTTCCTAATAATATAACAATTACGAGTCATATTGATTAGGTTTGGGATAAAATGTTTTCTCCCTTATATTTTTATAATGATAAATGTGACTCATCGTGTTCCTCCTAGTTTAGATGAGTGATGTGCAACTGGAGGATGAAGGACAGGAGTCCGGGCCTATGGATGATGGAGGGGACTATGGAACTGTCCCTGAGGAGGTAGTACAAGTATTGAGTGAGGAGCTACAAGGACTGGAAAGTTCAGCTCATACACTACATACAAGGAAATGTCTGTCAGTAGAGAATGTGAATTCAGTAGTAGTAGTAGTTTCACCCAGGACCCAAGGGGGCCATACTACATGTAATTATCAAGGATGTAGAGCCACTTGGATTACTAAGATAGATCCTCATTTGGCTTGCATAATTCATGGCAGCTGTGTCTCAAATAGCCTATTTTCACCAATGGATTGTTCAGTTTGTTATGATCAAATTTTTCAATTTCATCAAGCTACAGGTGATAAGAAAGAATTATTGCAGATCCAAATTAAAAAAGGTGGAATAAGGCCTTGAAGAGTAAATTTTTAAATGTAAAACAATGGAAAGATCCCAAGTTGGCAGAAAGTTTAGGTCTATTGGTGTTAGGTAAGAGACTTAATCCCCACTTAGACAAGCCTGTTCTTAGGCACATTACATATGATGATGTAGCACGTCACCTATGAGAGCTCTCACACACACACACACACACACACACAAAAGTGATCCTTTCTAACCTTTGGCTGCAAGTCTTTCCATCGCTGGGGTACAATCTTCTGAACATAATCATATTCCACTTTCACTATTTCAGTAACTAATTTCACTCCTAGTTCACTTTCTAGGTCCGTATTCATGAGACCCTCAACAGCCAACTGGCTGGCATTGACGTCATGTGATGGGAAGGGGCCAAAGCCGGTCACATAAACAAGTGGACGAACATCCTTTACTTCTGATGTTGATGCATCTCCCATTTCTGGAAGGGCAGGAATGCATTAGAATTCAGTATGCAAACATTTTCTGTATAAAAAAAGTAATAATAATAACTGGTAGACCAAAAGTTAAGGCGTGTCAGCACTCTTTTCTTGATATTTGAATGCGTTATAAAGTACGAAGGAAGAACAGATGGTTAGGTCTGTTTAAATGTTGAGGAATAAATGATGATCTCATCGGGTGTGTTTATTACGATTTATATTGGATTATTTTTTTTTTAATTTCTGGGAATATCATTTGGATAATAGTAAGAAATCTGAGAACAGCACTACCAGGGTGTCTACTGGCCAGAAAAAAACAAAATTCCCTGACTTTTCCAAGTGCAGGGGTACATTAATTTGGTATTTATTATGACAGAATAACAAAATTTGAGGTTTTCAATAACGTGTACTGTATATACTGTACTACAGCATGCCCTTCAAATTCGTGGGGTTTAGTTTCTCAAAATGGCCACAAATAGCCAAATCCGTGAATAGCATTTGCTGACCCGGGGGGGAAGGGGGGAAGGGGGGAAGGGGGGTTACATTTTTACTCGCGTGCAAAGAAATATATATTCCGTTTATGTGTTTGCCCTTAGGACAATTATTTCTTTTACCTGTACAGTATTGTATATATGTGTGCATGTGTAAACACACACACAAAACTCATACAAATAAATAATAATTGGAAAATACTCTCACAAATAATCAGAAACAATTGTATGAAAAATGCGAGTTTACCCTCAAGTCTACTCTGTGTTTTATTAATAACAAAACACTGAGTGAACTTTAGGGTAGAATCACATTTTTAATACTTTTGTTGTCTTGTTTATGATCATTTGTGAGAGAATTTTCCCATTATTATATACTGTGAATATATGTGTAATAATAATAATAATAATAATAATAATTAGGTTTATTGAAGAAACGTAAGAGGCTAAATATACAGTTCATATTTGGGGAATGGGTTCTGGTACAAATAATATACAAGTGACATAAGTGACACAAATAAGACATATAATAACTTAGATGTGTGTGTGTGTGTGTGTGTGTGTGTGTGTGTATTATATACAAGTAAAAGAAAATACTGTCTCTAGAAAATAGGCTTCCTGTCCATAAAAATGCCGCCTTTAAAACTACCCTTAAACATTCTTGGGTACATCCAGGGTGTCATCCGTGAATAATCGAGGTCCGTGATTTTTAAGGGCAGACTGTATTGGGAAATTTAAAGATGATAATTGCCACTGGAGACCAGACTGACTATTTTATTTAACCAGCTATGTTTCAGTACAATTATTAGGCCTCGTGATGAACATCAGCAAGACTTGACCCCACCTCCATATTTTTCTCCTTGGATTTGTGCAATTCACGTGGGTCGACCTGGACATTCCAAAACAACCCAGAAATCCAACAAAACAAAATTCACTCTGATCCACCTACACTGGAATAATCCACTAAAGTCACTTAATTATAAGAACAATTCATCTTTGACAATATTCATTAAATAATTAATAGGTAATAACCTGTAATATTTGTTTGTTTTTTATCACTAACATGAAATATGAGAGGTACACAAACAATTCACTTATTGGAATGGACTATTTTCTGGAATTTATTCCTAAAAGTTTAGTTATTTACCTATTAGTATATAGTACATCATTAATTTATGGTAAGTTAGTGTCAAAATACCAACATTTTTAAACTGAACTGAATTCACATAAAATTCCACATTTAATTGTAAGATTCCCTTGCATTTCCAGGTCTTCCAACCCCAAATAAAATTCCCCGCTTTTTCCAAACCAGTAGGCACCCTCACTACCATCAGAAGTTGCTCGATTTCATTCATTCTTTCACAGATGTTCTTATCATTATATTAAGTACAGTGCCAGTATTTTAATTATAAGTACACAGTAGATGCATATTTTTTTTTAGTTTTTCTATTTACGAAGAGGAAAATTGTGGGGTACAACTCATTGAAAATTGATCATATAACATTAAAATAATGTCTCTACATGCTTTGTATGTGAAGAAATCAATTATTTACCGTAAATACTCCTCCGAAATATCTGCCGAGTCAGTGTGTGTTGTCATCTGCTTAATATGTTTACAATTGACAAGCTCGGTCTGTGTGTACTATCATGTCACAAAAAATAAAAGTTACTTAACATCAACAAAGTTGCTTTCAGTGGTACCAGATATCAAAATAAATATGGATTAATATGGGGGGGGGCTCTGGGGGTAGGGCCCCTCAACTAGGAAGTTCGGTAAGATTTCTTTGGTTGGGTAGGTCAGGTTCTGTTCTAATAGCGTCACTTCTTTTAAAATACAGTATTTACTATAATGGTAAGAATATCTGTGGAAAAAAATGAACAAATTCGAACAACTCCTTCTTGTGGTAGTGCTGTTCTCAGACAATACCAAAAATCGAAAGAACAGTGCACAAATTAGGAAGTTAGCTAAGGTTAGGTTATATTCTGTGCATTATCATTTTTCTTGTTACGGTATCATGCAAATAGTATCTCCAGAAATTTTGGTTCAATTCAACAAGTTATTCCCTGGTGCTAACTGTCTCCTCCACCTTTTTATTATGAGTTTTGGTTTGCACAGCCACAGTTTATGTAGTGTTTGTGCTTCCACTTTATGCACATTATGTTTGGGTATTCTTATTGTTTGTCATGCAGCAATTTTAGGTTTGGTTTAGGTTAGGTTGAAATTATATTTTTACAATGGTTTTTGCCGTATTGAACGATTCTGACCTTCAGAAAATAGGTCCATGGCGGAAACATTAATTTTACTGTATGTTTGCAAGCACATAGTTCATGTACAGTACATCCAAACTTTTTATTACAAACATTATATTTGTACACCCACATTGTTTTAAGTATATTTCGTATACTACTATTATGTACAGTAAATTGTATAGTACCTGCATTGGCTATACAGTATTGTAATGGATACTCTCGCTACAACTGCCACTGTGGCTGATCAGCGATCCTTGACGAAGTTTCTCCAAGCCTAGTCGTCAAGACTCGTGGCGGTTGCCACCCTGTGTTCTCTGCCAAGCCTAGCCGTTGGACTCAGCGGTGGGGGGGCGGGGGGGACACCGGCAGCGCTTACTTCCGGTGGACGTGTATATAAGCTCACAGCCTGCTGCGTGAAGTCCATTCTACCTTGAGCCCTGCAACACAACACCTCCTCTAAAGAAGCTCCGGCACAGCAACTCCTCTACCACGCAGCAACTTCCCAGCACCAGACTGTTTTGTATATAATATAATTATATAAGAAAACCACCATTAAGAGTTTCCCTTCTCCAACCAATCCTGAGTGTGAGACATCATAAATTAACACTACAGTATACAGTACACCCTGAATGATGTAAACTTGTACTGTATGACAATTTGTTATCTAATTATGTAAAGTTAGGTTAATAAAAAAATACACTAACAGCAGCATTGTAAAGTAACTAAATAAATTTACTCAAGTATACATTTTTGGGTACAGCATTTCCTTTAAAAAGTATTAAAATTTTTAGTACTTTTACTTCTACTTAAGTATGGTTTTCTAATACTTTTTCTCCAATACAATTAAAAATTTTTACTCATTACTTGCCTTTAAACAGTTTTAATGTATATAGCAAACTAATAATATATTTTTAAATTAATAAATTAATTATTAACCAAAGTAAAAGAGCTGTGTGCTGTGGGTGGACACAACGCAGTCATATACCTGGGGTCTCATGTCCATGAGCACCTTGACCACCCACCTCACCGAGTCTACTCTCTTATCCCCGTCCCTATCAAATCCCCTCTCTTCTCCCCCACCTTTCCTTCAGGGGCTTGGTCTTCCAATTAGATATTAGTTGCTCTTCGCATATACTGTACCTAAAATTAATTTAAAAAAGGCTGTGAATCTAATATACTTCACATAATTCTATCTTTGATATAAAGCCTGTAAGACTGAGTGTATTTAATATTCTGCTTAAATAACTAAGTATACCCCCCCCTCCCCTACTACCAGCCAGATGTTACATGAAGCAAAAAATTCAGCCACTCATCAATTAGAATCGAATAGTGACGTCACCACAGCCACACCCCAATTAGATGGACAGTTCATGAGACTTAGTCAGACTCAGTCACTATGGAGGCAACATTCACCCACAAACTCCTCAACTGAAGGAGCTTGATAGCTACTTGGCATGTCCAGAGGATGGAATGGAGCTACTGAGGTCCTTCCCAACATTATATACTTATCTCTCAAGCTTAAGTAACACCCCACTACCTGCATCAGCTCCTTGTGAGCGTCTGTTTAGTCATGTTAAGCTTATTATTTATTATTTAATGAACATTTTACACCCCAGGGGAACACAAGCCTAATCACAAGACCATGCAGTCAGACGCTAATACATTGGTATACTTGTGTCTCACAGGACATGCCAAGACTTGTGATATGGAAACAATATTGATATGATTTAAGGACAATAGGAGTTAACACCTACCAAAGCGTGGGTAGCGTACAAGAATTAAATCAATGTTATTACGAATAAGTAGTTGATGACATATAGTGACTGTCCCTGTGGTAGGAGGTCTCTATGGACAGTTACAGAGTTTACAGGAAGAGAAGTGTGGGTCATCCCCCACCTCAGATGCCAAATAGGTCTATATCATAACCTAGTGCAAGTAGAGATAACATTATGTCGTGGACCATAAGTCCACGTTAATAATACTTGTGTGGATATGGAAGAAAGTGATCATAGTGTTGGATGGATATATTAGCCACGAATCCCTGTGATGGATTGTAGGGAGAAGAATGGCTCAACGTATTCACTTTCAGTTGGTCATGCTGGGCTTATATTTAGGCCTGAAAGATTCTGATTGGACAGCCATAATTTTAAGAATCTGTTATTTCTCAATAAAAAGATTTGCAAATAAATGTGTAATGCATTGTGCCATTTATTTTTATCTTTAGTTAACTATTTTTTATAATTTCCTGTGGAATTATTTTAATATTTAAGATTTTTTGTTTTGTTTTTACTTTTACTTTCAGTACTCAAGTACAGTATTTTAAGAATGAGATACTTTTTCTTACTGAGTACATTGACATTTGGATACTTTTACTTCTACTTGAGTAACATTTTGTCAATGTAATGGTAATTATTGACAACTGACCCACATCCGATTTTTCATAGAAAATGTAATAATATTGACGACTGACCCACGGACAAGTTATTTGTTTTAATGTTTACTTGGTAAATTTGCACTTCAAACCTCCCACTCTGTTAGAGTCAAAAATATATCTTTCTAGTATATTTGTGTGTTTAGACCGAATATGACCTTCATTTCCGTCGGAAATTGGCCGTTTTTTTTATCGATTTTATTTTTTCGGACATTTAAAAAAAAAATAATGGCTAAGCAAATAAAAAATACACCAAAACACACGAGAAAAACAAAAACCAAACCAAAACTAACCTAACCTAACTGACTCTCACCATATGATGGAATCACCTATTTCTTACCTTATTGGGCTGGTTCTGTTTCGTCGTTGGATTCTGAGATTCTTACACAACACCACATATGTTGGTCTTTGCGATATTTACATTCAGTCTTGCACTTAACACACTTTACTGAGGTTGGATAACACCATGCGACGAAAAATATGCTATAGTTTCTTTTGATTTTTCCCAAAAATCTTGCAACCAGCTCCATATAATTGAAGTGACACCCATCGTGAGACTTCCATGGTGAAAATGAATTTGAATTTCGAATATGAGTGACCCAAATTAAAAATCGATTTTGGAAATAAAAATACTGCAAATTAAACCACAAATCATTTTCATTGGTTAAAAAAAAAAAATGCTTTTGATTGGTCGCGTGAAGTGTACGGGAACGCATGCGCGTGATGATTCATGAGGGGGAGACACAGTGTGAGAGGTGAGGTAGGCGATAATGGCGGAAGATTAATGGAAGAAAATAGAGAAAATTTTGGATATGCTATCTCCGTTATTATACAGTACATTTGCGACTTGTAATGTAATAGATGAAATGATCTTATAATTAGACGTCTTATTAGAATATGACAATAGATTAGTGGTAGGAATGTGGAAACGTAAAAATACGGTTTATTTTCTGACTAATGATTTTCATCAGTGAGTTTTGATATGACAATCATTTTTTGTGAAAATGCTTCGTTTGTAGAAATTAAACGAGGGCGCACTACTTTGTCTTCTTGGCAGTAATGCAGCGGTAACATCTCATCCCAGGATGAAGAGAGCCAATCATATTGATTTATTTCAAAACACTTTTACCAAAAGCTGCTGCTTGTTTTTCATATCAACGAAGGTTAGTTTAAGTTTAATCTACAAATAACCACTTTTTAACACATTGGCACGAAGTACGAGTATCCACTATAAAATAGTGAAATTGCGGCGCTTTTATAATCGCTTTCAATGAAAAATCGGCTGCGGGTCTGTCGTCAATAATTACCATGTGTAAAAGGTGGTTATCTATAAATTAAACCAAATCTAATCTTAGATATGAAAAACAAGCAGTAGAAGTGTTGTTAAAAGCCTCAACCTAATTAAACAAACCTAACCTAACTTCCTAGCTAGCCCCCTGAACCACCCTGTATATCAAACAGAAAGAACTTGCTATAATATGGTGTAAATTTACGTTGTTGTTTTTTTGGACATGAGCAGCCGTCCATACCTGAGGGCTTATAAGGGTACATGGTGCGTCAGCATGATCAGACCCGGACACTGGATTGTTTTGAAATACGTCAATATGAGTGACTATTTACTCTATATTTTAAGTCTAGCTTATAACTTACTTTAATTAATTGGTTGGTGTTTTAAATGGCGGTAAAACTAGTGGGTATCACTCCTTGAACCTGTTGCTGCCTCAGCTGACCCAGGCCGCTTCGTCTCCAGCACCAACACAAACACTGAGGCTACCAACTGTCCTTCCTACTGTTGTATGATTATTATTCTTTTAATTTATAATTTCCATTTATCAAAATAACCCCAAGAACTTTTTTTATGTACAACATGAACTTTAAAATTGAATATAAATTCGGGGTACAAAAAGGAAGAAATAAATGTTTAATTTGTAGAATGGGAAACATAAGTCACCGAAGGGTCTACAGAAAATTCTAGATTTCAGTAAGGGCAGCTCTTATAGGGTGGGTGCGGTGTTCAGTCCAACATAAAACTTAACGTATCACGTGAAGTTTAGGCACGCCAATTTATTTCACCTTAACCCTTGTGCTACAAACATCCACCTGGCACCTACTTCCTTTTACACCTAAATTTATTTACCTTTTACTTTTAACCTCTTCGCCACTGATCGGCTCGTTAGCCGCTTGGGCAGTCGGTCACGTCTCTGTCACGCACTGTTGGCAAGTACTGGGCATGCACCTGCTCCTGAATGTACATAAACCTGCTCCAGTGTTGGCCAAGTCTGGTCTTGAAAGAGCTCACACTCGGTGCCGTCACAACACTTTTTGGTAGATTGTTCTAAGAATTCACAACTCTCACAACGAAAAAGTTTGCCTTCACAGTTTTCTGACCAGCGGCTTCTTCAACCTTGAACTGTGACCCCCTGTTGGGGGCGAGCGTCCGCCAGCTCCAGGTAAGGACACTAGATTGAGTAGTGTCCCTTGAGGTGCGTATACACCTCAATGAGGTCTCCCTTTGCCCGTCTGGACTCTGTAGTATAAGCTAGGCAAGTTCAGGTGCTCCAATCTCTCAGGGTACTTAAGGTGACGAAGTGCAGGCACCAATCTGGTGGCCCTCCTTTGAACACTTTCAATCAACTGACAGTCCCTAGCATATCTCGGGGACCAGACGGGGTAATAGTACTCCAGGTGGGGAAGCACTTATACCCTTGAAGATCGTTACGAACTTATGAGGGACGGACCGTCAAAATATCTGCCCTGTAGTACAGTCTCATCCAATTGTTCGTTAACTCTCCCAACCAGCTGTTGCTGCACTGCCTGCTTCAGAAGTTCAGATGTATGAACTTGAGTCTGTTACTTCGAACCTTTAGATTCATTCGTATCGGTTTCATGTTCTGGTTGGTAATGAGACAGTTTCAACATCTGAAGCAGGCAGTGCAGCAGTAGTTGGCTGGGAAAGTTGACGAACTTTTGGGTGAGACTGAACCCCGCTTGTGATGGGCACACAGGGTGATTTCGTGCCATTAATCACCACACGAAGATAGTCTCCGATCCAAGCGAAGACATTTCCCTGAATCCTGTACCCTTCCAGCTTAATTTTCAGCCTTTCATTGGGGGTACACTGTCGAAAGCCTTGGTAAAATTTTGATATATATTGTCGATATTACCACCCTGTTCCAGATTTGGGTCCAATTGTGTTAAGAACATTGAAATACTTAAATAAATAAAAACATTGACAGAAGTACTTAGAAAATAACTTAGAAAAGAATTAGTAAGTAAATAAGAAAAGATAATATAAATAAGAAAATTAAAGGTTATATAAGACAAGTGATTGAAAAAACATAACCAAAGAAATAAAAGAAAGTTATATAAGTTATCACAGAAAAGAGAAATAGAAAATATGAATTATTAAAGAAAATATATATAGTGTATAAATCTTCTTTCTCCCCCTTACACTAGACCTCAGCGATTGCTTTTCACAATGTCATTTCATGATTCGTCAGGCGATAAGATAGTACAGATAGTGGCTGTGAAGCCCGGGGCGTACACAGTGTGGTGCTGGCGATTAGAACAGCAGCAAGTGGTGGTGGTGTTAGAGCCAGGAGGTGGTGAGGGTTTCGTTCACAAACTTACAACATGTGTGAGCTGACAGGGCTGAAGGCGACGGGAGTCGTGATGGCCATGTTTGCCACAGTAAGTCCCAAGTAATGAGTTTCTGAGTATCACTATTGTACTTGCTTTAATCGTAGTTGTATGTGACAACCAACACTCGAGGATAAAAAGTACCGGGTATGTGTATAGTAATAAAAGTCCTTTACCTCAAAGGTAGATGGTAGATCAGGAGGAGCATTCAACAACTATCGAGACCTGGATCAAGGAGGCGAAACAGTTGTCGAGGTGTGAACCGTGCGATCCGCCCCTAAAGCTGGTCCCTTGTTGCCATACAGTACACAATCAACAGGTATCCACGGCAAACTTTTTCGGAGTGAGAGTTGTGAACTCTCAGAACTATCTACCAGAAAGTGTTGTGAAGGCACCGAGTGAGAGCTCTTTCAAGACAAGACTTGACCAACACTGGAGCGGGTTCAGGTACATTTAGGAGCCGGTGCATGCCCAGTACTTGCCAACAGTGAGTGACCGATCGCCGAAGCGGCTAACGAGCCGATCAGCGGTGAAGAGGATACAATTAGCAGAACGGTGTCCGATCTAAGAGAAGAGTCCCAGTTAGGGACAATATAATTTGTGATAGAAAAAATTCATTGTTTATATCATAGATCATTTATTTTTAATCCTTCGTGCGCCATGTTGATTTAACTATGGTTTGTCTCACAATGGTTAACGAATCAGCTAATCTAACGCAGTGTCTCCGCTAATGGATGATGATTGGAATTTACTTATATGACAAGGCACCCGAACCCCACCATACATCCACTCCTCATTCAATTAAAGCCTACGATGACCCGAGAGGAGTAGTGGCTAGAAATCCACAAAACAAGAACAAGTGATCTTACCTGAACAATAAACATCCTACAATAACATCGAATTTTATACCGCCTTAGTAACCTGCATAAAACACAAATTATGGAACATCTGTACGAGGCAATGACTAAACCAACTGACTATACATCCCTTGCTACGGTGTCAAGTGACGTCAGAGGCGGAGATAAAGAGAGGTGGGTGGGTGTGCCCTCATCCACAATATCTCAAAGTAAACAGAATGACAGATTAACTTTTGTCACCAACGCTGACAGTATCAACTACTTTAATTCGTGCACTTATACATTTCGTGTTATTATTAAGATACCTGTGTGAGAGAGAAGAGTTGCTTGTGGGGTGAGGGACCTATGTTTAATTTAGTTTATTTAATTTTTCGTTTCACCTCTTTATCATATTATTAGCCTTTCGGAGGGGGGTGAGAAGGCGTGTTTGTGTGTCTCGGGTGTGTGGGATACTGTAGTGAACAATTGGAATAAGCTGCCAGTGAATGTTGTGGTGACGCCAAGTGTGAGCTCATTGAAAGTCAAGATTGACCAACATTGGCTCATGTTCAGGTATAGATTCAAGAGCCCGTGCATGCCCAGTGCTTAACCGGTGACACAGGACGTAGAGTATATGTAGGAGACTGGAGAGGAGCAGTGTTGCAGTGCCAATTTTTAAGGTGCAAGAGCTGTCAAAATAATTTCCGTTTTCTAAACCATGTATATATATATATATATATATATATATATATATATATATATATATATATATATATATATATATATATATATATATATATATATATATATATATATTTTTTTTTTTTTTTTTTTTTTTTCCATCAAGTAGTAGTCTAATGTGCTTATTCTTTCAATATTGGTCACATACCTATAGCTCTTATGAGAGGAAATACATACCCTGTACCTACTTTTGAAAAAGTACTGTTTTAAGTGTTTAGAATAGCACCTGTTATCAAAGTCTTTCTACAATATTGATGTCATAAAATGTAAGCTGAGCTGAAGGAGAGACTAATTATATGAGGATATATTCGGTTTTGTATATGTATTATTAATGGAAAATAAAGTTGATTGCTTCTTTTTTCTTTTATCCTCTTCACCACTGATCGGCTCGTTAGACGCTTGGGCGATCGGTCACGTCTCTGTTACGCACTATTGGCAAGTACTGGGCATGCACCGGCTCCTGAATGTACCTGAACCTGCTTCAGTGTTGGTCAAGTCTGGTCTTGAAAGAGCTCACACTCGGTGCCGTCACAACACTTTCTGGTAGATGTTCCAAGAGTTCACAACTCTCACTCGAAAAGTTTGCCCTCACAGTTTTCTGGACTTGTGGCTTCTTCAATCTTGAGCTGTGACCCCTTGTGGGGCGAGCGTCCGACAGCTCCAAGTAAGGACACTCAACTGAGTAGTGCCCCTTGAGATGCTTATACACTTCAATTAGGTCGCCCATTGCCCGTCTGTAGTATAAGCTAGGCAAGTTCAGGAGCTTCAATCTCTCAGGGTAGTTGAGGTGCCGAAGTGCAGGCACCAGTCTGGTGGCCCTCCTTTGAACATTTTCATCCAACTGACAGTCCCTAGCATATCTCGGGGACCAGACAGTACTCCAGATGGGTTAACACTTCACTCTTGAAGATCATTACGGGGGACGGACCGTCTAGATATCTGAACGACCTTCTTATATGACCCAACAATTTTTTTTTTTATGGACATTAGCCCACCCGGGCACAGGTCAAACGACCCACAACGTTGTCTGGGGGCGGAAAAAAAGAACGGAAAGAAATTGTAAATATAGAAAAAAAGGCCCTTCTCATATTCAGTCTCAAATAGTGCAATTTCTTCATCCCGTTGGGACATGGTACGCCTCCTTACCATTGGTACGCCCCAGGTGCATCCTCTTACACTTCGTGACATTAAATCTCAGCAGCCGTTTCTTCGACTATTCTTGGAGCTCACAAAGGTCCTTCTGCAGCTCTTCACAGTCCGCTTGGTTCTTGATTTCCCGAAATAACTTGGCGTCATCGGCAAACATTTGTATGGAGGAGTGTACAACGTCAGGCATGTCATTTATGAAACAAACAAACAACAGCGGGCCCAACTGCACTGCCTTTTCCCTGCTTGTGACAGGTACGGATGATGATTTCGTGCCAATATTCACCACACCTTTGCAGTCATGTAGAAAGTCTTCTATCCACACTTGGACATTACCCCGACTTCCGTACCATTCCAGTTTGATTTTCAGCCTTTCGTGGGGTACACTGTCGAAAGCCTTGGCAAAATCTTGGTATATATTGTCGATATTACCACCCCGTTCCAGAATATGGGTCATAATATCCAATACCCTGCGCAATTGTGTTAAGCAGGAGCGCCCCGGCATAAAACCGTGTTGGCAATCCTTTACAAGGTTGTTTCGTAGTACATGTTCCATCGCGGCATCTCTGATAATACTCCGTAATTTACATATTATGCTGGTAAGGCTCACCGGTCTATAGTTGTTCGTGAAGTGACGATCGCCCTTCTTGAAGATTGGACTCACATAAGCCACTTTCCATCGACTGGGGACCTTTTGTTCATCCAGGCATTTACAAAACTAGATCTTCAGGGGCTCGGCAAGCACGTTGCACAACTCTCTTAGCACTCTAGGATGCACCATGCCAGGGCCGAGACTCTTATGGACCTTTAGCTTTGACAATTTATTTCTAATACACTCTTCTGTGAACACAATGTGGGTCAGTGCTGTGTCGAACCGTCTGTCCTCAAATGCAGGAAGGTTAATCGCATCCTCTCTTGTGAACTCCGAGGAAAAGAAGCTGTTCAATGCCTCAGCTTTATCCTGGTCAGAATCTGCACAAAAAACCATCTTCGTGCCTCAGGTCTGATACTCCTACTCGCGTTTTTAATTTCGACTTTGCATAACAGTAAAATGCCTTTGGGTTTGACCTGACCTCGCTTGCAACCAGCCTCTGGAACTCCTTTTCAGCCCTTCTACACTAACTGAATGTGAGATGGACCTAGGTGTGTATGTTGACAATGAGCTGAAGTTCTTGGGCCATTGCAAGAAGAAGGTAGGTCAGGCTAATAAACTATTAGATCTTACAGGAAAGTCGTTCACATATCTACAGTCCATCCCTCGAAACGATCTTCAAGAGTGAAGTGTTTCCCCATCTGGAGTGCTGTCACCCCTTCTGGTCCCCGAGATATACTAGGGACTGTCAGTTGATTGAAAATGTTCAAAGGAGGGCCATCAGACTGGTGCCTGCACTTCGGCAACTCGACTACCCTGAGAGATTGGAGCGCCTGAACTTGCCTAGCTTATACTAAAGAAGCGCAAGGGGTGACCTAATTAAGGTATACAAGCATCTCAAGGGGCACTACTCAGTTGAGTGTCCTTACCTGGAGCTGGCGGGCGCTCGCCCAACAAGAGGTCACAGCTCAAGATTGAAGAAACCGCAAGTCTAAAACTGTGAGGGGTAACTTTCAGAGTGAGATGTGTGAACTCTTGGAACAATCTGAAGAGTGTTGTGACAGCATTGAGTGTGAGCTCTTTCAAGACCAGACTGGATATGCACTTGAGCAGGTTCAGATTAGCCGTGCATGCCCAGTACTTGCCAACAGTGCATAACAGGGACGTGACCGATCGCCCAAGCGGCTAACGAGCCGATCAGTGGTGAAGAGGATAAAAGTAAAATTTCAAAAGTTACCTATCTTGTTAGCCAGCCCCATGAACCCCCCGGTATATTAAACAGAAAGAACTTAATATGATATCATGTAATTTTAAGTTTTTTGTGGACGTGAGAGTAGCAGCCCATACCGAACAGTTCTTGAGCATACACTGAGCATTGCTGTTGATCAAGCCCAGGTGCCAGAGAGTTTTGAAATACAGTATAGTCTTCATTTACGCGGTCAATTGAACCCGTGGAGGTCCGCAGAAAACGAGAAACGCGTAAACGAAATAACAGAACATATGGGATTAATTAAAATAGAGACAAGGCCGACCCACAAGTGGGAAGAAAAGTGAAACATCAAGCATGGCTTAACTAATTTATTCCTTATAAATCATATTGCATCCCGTCACAATACAAAAAGAGTTGGCCTTCATCAGAAGAACAACTATTATGTTCATTACACTTCACATCAATACACGTCTTATATCAAGTAATTACTGTTATCATCTTCATTCTTCATAACAACCAATGACCTCTTTCCTCGGTCATTCCTTCTTACCAAACACCCAACACTGCACCACCTGTTAGAGTATAGCATCACATGTTACATTACAGCACCACATGTTATATCATAGCACCACATCCCGGGTACACTCCACACCTACAAGTATGGAACTCCTCGGTATTCTTAGATACACATTCCAGGAACCTCGTTCACACTCTACTCTTGCTGAGTAGATGGATACTTCCCAGGTTATCATACCAGTACTGTTTCCACGTCTGGTATTCTTAGGTCGCTCCACATATCGACGGCGGATCTTCTCAAACATACTATTATTTTCTCCTATCTTGGGTGGTGATATGTAGGGTATCCACAGATGCACAGTGGAGGTGCATAATGGCCGTGGCAGTGTGAGTCCTTCACCGTGGTGTTGGCTTGGCTGACGCTCTGGACGCGTGCGTACCTGTTTTGATGAGAGCGGGTATGACTGAGCGCGGTGCCTCGCGTCTCTCACTGAACTAGGCCTACAGTTTCCAATCTTTAATTTTCACTCTGATATTATTCTGGTTCTCACATGTACACTTTCCTATCTATTGTGACCTTATGCCTTATAATTATATATCTTAATCCTAAGTTACATATTAAAGTAATGATCTGGTTTGACAGCTCCTGAGGAAATTAATTGGGCTATATCATTACAGTGACCCCTCGGTTAACGAACTCAATCCGTTCCAGAAAGTCGTTCGTTAACCGAAACCATTGTTTCAATGGGTTTTTGGGTAATTGGTTCCAACTCACCGAAAATTGCCTAAATTCAACATAATGGTAGAAAAGTTCACTTACTTTGAGGTGTGTATGTAGAAGGCTCCTGGATGATGATGATGATGATGATGATGATGATGATGATGGGAATTAGAATGGGGGTGGAGGAGAAGGAAGAAGAGAAGGCATTGGGGTGGGAAGAGAAGTCACCCCATGGCACCATTTCACCCATAAAATTTTAGTTCACTTGGTGTATTTCAAGATTATTTTTAAATCAACACTGCACTGCATTATATATTGTCAATATGTAAAATATATTTCAAAATGACCAATAATTTGCTTGGAAACACAGAAAAAAGCATTTAGTTGAAGAGAGTCTCAAGCAAGATGTTACCTCCAGTGAAAACAGAGAGAGACTAACTCCTGTTTGCTGTGTTAAGAGGCTGGATGTCAGAGATTAAACTAGTCACTACTCTTTCAATTATGTTCAATAATTGTTAAAATGACTAAAAAATTGAATATTAAACTTTTAAAATTATTGAATAGTATAAACTTTGATATTTACTAAAAATAGTAAGGAATTTAAGCCCTAGAACCGATTAATGTATTGGCAGACTGATACTAAAGCTGGTTGCCCGGTCAGTGCAAGCGAAAACATGTTGAGGTCGGTCAGAAGAAATTCGTTAACCGAATTTTTGTTCGTTAACCGAATTGAAGGTCCTTATGGAAGGCAGTTTGTTAACCAAAATTTCGTTAACCGAGGTGTTCGTTAACCGAAATTTCGTTAATCGAGGTGTTCGTTAAACGAGGGGTCACTGTAACTCAAAACTGTAGCCCGGGGCCGAATAGACGCCAACATCGACCAAAGACTAGCAGATTTTTCATGGCGTGGGTATATCCACTTCACTTCAATCTGTATTTAGGGATCCTCCCCTCATACGTTGCAATCGTTGAACACATTCAAAAGATTCTCTGATTATTGCATGGTCCGTGGTTATCCGTGACAAGAGGTAACGAGGTGTATTAAGCTCACACCGAGGCATACAAGATATTTTCTTTAAGTATAGTTTCTGGATCACTTCCAACACTTCACATAGGTCTGATACATTTATCCTTTTTCCAAATCAATGTTCTTTTATTTTTTCATCTGATACCTAGGTAGCTATGTTCAATAATTATCGTTCACAGACGTAAATAGAATGACCTTCAAACGCGATCTACTCTTATCCCTTATAATACACTGGTCCATATCAATTGGACCTTCCCAATCATCCTATAGATACCTTGAGTTCTCCTTAATGCTATGAGTACATACACTTAACATTATATAACCGTACCTTGGTACAATTTGTATAAAACATACAGTAGGCAAGTTATAAACATACATTAGATGAGTTATCCTTTACCAACGTTTCCGCTTTTCTGAGACTCTAAAAGCGCTGTGGATTTGAATGTTATGTAGCGTAATATGAATTAAAGAGATTTTAGGGATGACAATGATGTGCGCAGTACACATGTAGTTTTCATTAGGTAATGTAGTTTATGTTGGGTCATTTGGAAAGTAGTTTGGATTATGTTTTTTTAGTTAGCTTAGGTCTGTTTTTTTAGTTAGGTTAGTTTTTGGGGTAGCAGGGTTTCAATAAGTTAGTTAAGGTTTTCTAGGGTTAGGTTAGATTAATTTTTGTTGGAGAGTTTATGATCAATTCCAGTCTCATTCTTTGTGTGTTCTGATACAGTTGGTGTCTATGGGTACCGAGGGATTTTATGCATGGAAAGCTTACGAGGTGGACAATGAGTGTAATGTGACAAACGTAGACAATGGCATAGATTACTACAACATTGACGTCTGCTGGTTTGACGGTAAGTTCCTCGGTTGCCATCTATAAGGTTAGTGCAATAATTTCTTCATTAACTACAAATAGAGAAAGCATCTTGTTACCTGTTGTTTCATGATCATTTTACTGATGAAATTTTGTATAAGTATCATTAGCTACCTATCATGTAATTTTGCATTTGGGTATAGTATTGTATATAATTAGTTGAACTCACACCATAACATAAAATAAATGAGTATATAGAAGCTGAGATAGAAATCAAATTTTCCTTTTGAATTATTTAAGTCAACTTTGTATATGCTGTTTACAATAGTACTGTACACATTCCAAAGTGAAAATAGTTATTTTTGAACAGTAGATGCACATGAATTTCATATCAAGCTTTAAGCCACCATTTTGTCAAAAAGTACTGTACATAACTTAAGCACAAGTTGGTGCACCCTAGTTTGATAGTGTTACACTGTAGGTATCACTAAACCTAAACAAATTTTTAAAAATTAAATTATAACTTTGAATTTGACAATTTCTGAAATCGAATAACCCAACAGAGCTGGAGGTCCGCACCTACATAGGCTTGGTGGAGGGTATCCTGGGCATCATCGTCTCTGTCTGCCTCATCATCGGTTTTGCCAATGTGAGTATTGTAGGAACTCTAGTGTGGTCACAACACTGCCATGACTGGGCTAACGCTTAGTGAAGCCGAGTCCTGAGTTTGGTATGTGCACAGCCGCACACACAGGCTCACACTCTGGTTCTGCTTGTAGATTGTTATTATTATTATTGTTACATTTTCGCCTCCCAGGCCCTGTTAGGGTCAGAGACCTGTGCCCGGGTGGGCTAATCCCCGTAAAAAAAAAGAAAAGACTGTTACCCTGGCACACCCCACTCCAACTTTAATCCTGTGTTACTCAATGCCACCTGCATCAAACATCCTGTCGACAGTCTGCTGCAGATACATGACTGCCATCAACACACATATACTGTACAGTACAGTAAGTCCTCGCTTAACGTCACGGTTACGTTCCTAAAAACGTGTCGTTATACCTAAAACAACGTTAAGCTGATCAATTTTCCCCATAAGAAATAGATAAAATATGGGAGTTACGTTCCTGAGCCTCCCTTTGCCCCATGAAATACATTACATATATAGAAAATCATTGCCATTTCTATAGAAAACAATGCATATATATATATATATACAACTACTGCACTGTACTAAGTTTGTATTGGTACTCACCGATGGATGGAGGTGGTAGAGTGAGCGTGTGGTAAAAAGTAGAGCTGGCGGATGCCGGGAGGAGGGTGAGGCGGGAGCGGAGGAGGAGGTGGGAGCGGAGGAGGGCGGAGAAGGGAGGGTGGTTGTCAGAGAATCTTGCATAAGCCGAGAGAGCATAGCACGGCAGAAGAGAGTGGGTGATGCACCGTAAAATGTAGTTCTGACGACGTAGTATCGGATCACCGGGACGTTAGACAAATTTTTGGTCTCTTAAAGTTTGAAGACGTAGTACTGAAACAACACTAAGCGGGACGACATTAAGCGCGGACTTGCTGTATGTGGATATATAAAATGAGCGCAGTCAGAATTAAGAAACAAATAAAAATGTTTACAAAACATGTCATATGTAAAGAAACAATGTAATTGGCATATGATCACTTGAAACATGAAAAGACGGTCAATTACGTTAGAGGGTTACTTGTATACTCCAATAAAGATCAATTAAGTCACATCAACATAGGATGGAGGGGACTCAGGATGAGTGCAGTCAGAATTTTTTTTTCTCTTTCTCAATATATAAGTAGATGTTGGCAACTTCTAAATATTTACCTAATATACCAGGTATCGGCAACCCACGGCCCAAACCATATTATGGTAGATTTTTTCATAAATGGGAAAAAGTCTGATTGTAAACTGAAAATATCATAAGATGGACATAGCGTGCTAATACAACATTAACATTACTTCTGGGTTAGGAAGGATAGAAATTTTGGGGTTGCCCCGCAGAAAAATACCTATATCGTAATGCGGCCCATGACTGAGGAAAGGTTGCCCATGCCTGTAATATACTATATGTGCAATTGTAACCCCTACAATAGAAGCACCCAACAAGGTATACCATATATACTTTTATGTTATAGCCGTACCTGCCGCTGGTGTGGATTTGGACAGTTTGGGCCTTGGGGATATCTGCTTACAACAGCTACTGCACCTACGACTACTACACCACCATCCAGGTACATCTGCACGGTAAACTATGGCACTGTCACAGTAAACTATGATATGGTAAACTATAATATACTCATTGTAAACTGTGATATGATCAAGGTAAACTATAATACTGTTATGCCAAGGAATAATTTACTACAGTATTGCAATTTTTTTGAACTAGGTGTCTGATTATTTTTTATCCCAAGCAGCAGTTATTTTTGCAAGTTTTGGGAGATTTTCTTGTATACATTGATGTATTACCTATGTAAAAACTTTCTAGAATGTATTGTGTCATTTTTTAAGATTTACTTATGTGTTGTAAGCTTAGATCATTGTAGAACTTTCCGGATGTGTCTCATTTTCGCCACCCAGGCCCCAACGTGGGTCAGTGACCTGTGCCCGGGTGGGCTAACTCCGAGAAAAGATGGTACTAGAATGCTCTAGGAGTCTAGGCATCTGAAAAGAGGTATATAAGAACCAGCGAGCTGCCTAGGGGTGAGAGTTGCCCGTTCGAGTATTGTGGCATTGTTGTGAATGATATAAAGTGAAAAGACTAAGAAATTGTACACTGGAAGTGTGCTGGCTTTATGTCCAGTGATAAGGACATACCCTATGAACAGTTTTGTGAAGATTGTGATTATTAAAGAGAACTACTGTTCACAAGTGTATTTCTGTGACCTGGTGGAAATCTACCGGCCTGTTGTTTTGTCTGTACACTGATACTGATCATCGGGAAATTACCAGAGACTGGCGGGACAACTATTCTTAATTCGATGATACTTGTAATGTGTCTACTGCTTCTGTATACTGTACTGTATATGATCTGGCTGCTTGTGGAAACGGGTAAGTAGCAAAAGGGGTTCACAACAATACTCTCATGGTAAACTTTAACACACTCATTGTAAACTATGATATGATCATGGTCAAGTATAATTACTATCATGGTAAACTATGATACTGTCAAAAATGAGGTGCGATAATGGTAAAATACTGTACAGAACTGTCTGTCACAGAATCACTGTAATCCTTTGTACTATCACATTAATTTGGTAATGGGAGACGAGACCTGTATTTATCATAGGGCCCCGAGTTTAAGTTTGAAGTCATGCAATAGAAATGCCCAAATTCTCTGAGCCATAAGAAGTTCACAAGTCAACCCTCTGCCAGCAACACTTAGGCATCGATTTTCTGAGATCCCTAAGGAATTCTGGTGATCTACAAGTTAAGGCATGAAACAGTGATCACTGCTGACTACTATTATGTTGGCTTAATACAAAACCTGCACAATGTTACCTGGAAATACGACAGTAAACATTATCTTGAAGTGTGCTCCTGCTCCACCACAATGTGCCGGTCCACAAATCCCATGCCACACAGATGTCTCGATTCACGACCTTAGTTTTAAGCAACTCCACTACCCTCCTTACAGCCCAAATCTGGCTCCCAAGTGACTATCATCTGTATTGAAGGCTAAAGTCAAACCTCCGAGGTGCCACTTTCAGGTTGGTGAGGAGCTTAAGGAGGCTTCTGAGGCATGGTTTGTGGAGCTGAAGGAAGGTACTGAGGCACGGTTTGTGGAGCTGAAGGAAGGTACTGAGGATGGTTTGTGGAGCTGAAGGAAGGTACTGAGGCACGGTTTGTGGAGCTGAAGGAAGGTACTGAGGCACGGTTTGTGGAGCTGAAGGAGGGTAATGAGGCACCGTTTGCGCAGCTGAAGGAGGGTAATGAGGCACCGTTTGCGCAGCTGAAGGAGGGTAATGAAGTTTGGTTTGAAGCGCAGTAGAAGACAGTTAGAAGATTGGCATAGTGAATTTGAAAGACAAATTGAAAAATTTACTGAAGTCAGAGGAGTCTATACTGAAAAATAATAAATGAGTTTAGGTTGATTTCTTATTATATAACCATTTAGCCAAACTTTTTGATTACCCTTCGTATGTGCAATATCCACAAATACGTCATATGTATTCTCTATAAATGTGAAACACAGTGTAGGAGACAATAATGTGGTGCTACTGTTAAATATCCAGAGTTCTAGACTTTATCGCAATTTCTTGAACCGCTTAAAACTTCTACAGCTATTACTTTGAGTTTTTAATTTCGCTCCCATAACTTCCCATGTGGAATGATGAATATTACATGTTGATAGTAAAGTCGTAAAGTTAATCTGTAAGCAACAATGCCTCCTGTCACCCAAGATCCAACTAAAAACTTGGCTATTAATTGATGGCCACTGACTGAATTGAAGTCGAACAGGAGTGTCAAAAGTTCACATTAAGTCACATTGTTTGCTCTGCACTGTGATGATCATGTATGAGAAGCAGCAAAAACTAATTTTGCTATAAACAGTACTCCCGGACGCTTCATATTGTCTCTCTTCTTCAGGAAGCCAATGATGACCCACTGTGGGACATTGTGTGGGACGTGGACTATGGACTGTTCTTCTTCGTTGCCATGGTGTCTGTCTGTTGTCAAGTCTTTATCCTCATCTTCGTCTTACCCCTGGGAGTAGCCATCTCCTGCATGGTGAGAGAGAGAGAGAGAGAGAGAGAGAGAGAGAGAGAGAGAGAGAGAGAGAGAGAGAGAGAGAGAGAGAGAGAGAGAGAGAGAGAGAGAGAGAGAGAGAGAGAGAGAGAGAGAGAGAGAGAGAGAGAGAGAGAGAGAGAGAGAGAGAGAGAGAGAGAGAGAGCCCAAATTGACTAAACCTAACTTAAACCATCACAAATTCACCTAATCCAACTTTTTGTTACTTAACCACTTACCGTACCCTATACTATCCCAAGTAAACCTATTTCACCAAAACCTAATATATCTTAATCAAACTCAACCTCATCTTACTCAACCTAAGCTACATTAACTTAACCTCACAGAGGTCATGAGAAACATATTACTGTATGTGTGTGTGTGTGTCAGATGTAAGTAAAGTTTATGTGATTACAGTACAAGCACATGTATTCTAGAATTCTTTATGACTGTGTGTATATAGTGTAAATATTCTGTATTTAAGTATCACTGTGTTACTGTGTTCTTATTCATATAGGACAAAATATACCTTTTCTTGTAACACCACAAGAATGAATATGCAAATGGCTGTATATAAGCACACACATATATTATCTGTGACTGTGGTGTGTACATGTATATAAGTGTGAAACTGTGCACCTGTACTGTACAGTATATACAAGTATGTCCATGACCGAGTGTGTACAGTAGCCTACACCAAGTGTGTGTACTGTATGTGTGTGTAAGCCTATACGGTTATGTGCATGTACAGTTCTCTGACATACGACGGCCATGGTCGTATAAAATATTTTTCACAGTAATGTATTTTCGAGTCCCGACGTTAGTGATCATGGTGTGAACTGACAAAATTTTTGTTTGTAATTCCCTTTAAAATGGCTGGCAAGCGTAAAGTGAGCTCTCGTGGTGCTGAGAAGAAAAAGAGACACCCATTTTAGAATTTCTATGTCCACTGTATTATTTTTGCCTTACAACCAATTTGACTTACGACCTGGTCGCTGGACGGAACCCCGTCAGAAGTCGAGGAGAGACCGTATATAATCGTAAGTGTGACTGTGTGGGTGTGCACATGTTTTTACTGTGTGTTCTTATGTAATCAAATAACTTTCTCAATCATACTAGATTGCTTAAGGGGTAATATCTAGGGTTCCAAGATAGAACGATAGTATTTTTGGAACAAACTCCCCCCAATTTTTGCACATGTTTAAGTTCCGTGATTTGAGGTTGGCACGCCACTGTTTTTTCGGGGCCAGAGGCACACTACAAACATCTTTTTTTACACTCATACACTAACAGGTTCCAACAACGGCATCAAAGGATGTTTAAATATGCCATCAAAACACCTAAAATCTCATCAGACGTTACTTATGACCATAAAGTTTTAATTCCTTGTGCCGTAAAAATTGTTTCTAAAAAAGGTGCTACAAAAAATCCCATCTCTCACAAAATTTTGGAACTTTGACTTTTATCTTTTTTCCCTTCCTAAAGTATGAACGCACATCAAACATCCTGAGATTCCATATACCTGTATAAATAATGTAGACTTAATGAGTCGTAGAAAGAATAATTAGCTTAATTTTTAAAAGCTGCCTCTTGTATAATGTTAAGGAATATCAGTAAAAAATGCAAGGGAAATTGAAGACAAACAATGCAGAAATACAGTACAGTAGACCCTTGCCATTTGCGGGTGTACAATTCGCTATTTCAACGATTTGCAGTAAGCAGATGGTGGCTAGCTTGCATGCCTTTTCCAGCAGCACAATGAGTCACCCCATGCATCCACAGCATCTCCTCTCCCTCTGTTCACACTCAACCACTGCCTGTGACACAGCATCTCGTGTTGTACTCTCAAAACTTAGTGTCTGTGAAATGACCCCTAAAAGACTGCAAGTGTCAGTGCTAGCGATGCTAGTGGAGTGAAATGTAAAAGGCAGAAGTCACTGATGATCCTGACAAAGAAAGTTGAATTATTAGATAAGTCAAAAGAGGGGATGAGTGTTGCCGTGGCTTGTCAGTTGTTTGGTATAGATATCCAGTAGTTTTGCCTATTCACGCCATTCTGAACCTAACCACCGTGAATGACAAGGGTTTGCTGTAAAACAAATATGAGGTGCATTCACAAAGAAACAATTTTCAGAGGTACAGGTTGACAACCCTTTATCTGAAATTCCGATTGCTCACCTGGGTACAGGTCACTGACCCACATTGGGACCTGGGGGGCGAAAATGTAATAATAATAATGATAATAATTATTATTCATAGTGAATAATAAAAAATAAAATAAAATAAAAATAATAATATAACAATAATAATAATAAAATAATAAAATTTATAATAATATAATAATAATTAATAAAAATAATAATAATACAGTAATAAAGAAATACAAGAATGACCAAAAGATCAAGTGAGAAACACAACCTAGACCTATGAATTATTATTATTATTACTATTATATTTTAGCCTCCCAGGCCCCAATGTGGGTCAGTGACCTGTGCCCTGGTGGTCTGATCCCTGTTTAAAAAATAAATAAAAATAACTCAACCATTCTGAAATCCAAAATGCATCTGGCCCCACAGATTTCAGATAAGGGATTGTCAACCTCTACCAACAACCTCTGCAAAAGTAGTTTAGGGGGATCCACTATACCAATTTATCATATCTGAGAGAAACTGAGCATGATGAAGATTGACAAAGCTCCAGTTCGATGCAATACATCCATAACTACTTGATGAAGGGCACAATACAATAGAGTATAACACTGGTAATTTGCAAAAACATAAGATGATCTTCAACAAGTAGCTCAAAACAAGTACTGTTCCCGGTATTTACAAACATCCCCGGGTTACGGAAAGGTCCCATTCTTGAAAATTTTCCGTAACATGGGACCACTTTTCCCATTGACTCCAGTTATATAATTTGAGATGACTTCCCAAGGAATTTATTATTATTATTATTATTATTATTATTATTATTATTATTATTATTATTATTATTATTCAGTGCATGTGATGGAGGGTGAGGGTGCGGGGGTTTTGAGAATTGCAATTAAATGCCAGGTAGTGACGTGTCCTAATATTACTTATTCAGTAATTATTAGATGTTTTAATTGCTTGTATGTTGGCCTGGCGAGTTATTGCTAGGCATTAACATACCTAGGTATAAGCTAGGCGTCGCATTCTGGACTATATAATAAAAACTGGTTTTAGAAAAAATGCCTTTTGGGGAGGGGCAAAAATTTAATGGGTACAAGCACATAATATCTGAAAGAAAATAAACAGTTTTAAACACATACAGTACAGTACAATGATTCATTCATGATATAACATGACAATAAATACACACTACAATTGAATTTAACTGACCAGAAATGATGTTAAGTGTTGCATCAGGTGTAGATTGGAGTTACTGGGATTTACCTTAAACATCAAGTTTAATGTCCAACGGTAAAATTTTTTGTTCTATATCGTGGTTTTTTGTTTGAAAAACTAAAAAAATTTACCCAAATTCTGTAAGGGAAAATAGTCCAGAAGAAAGATGCAAAACTGAACAAAAGATGGAGAATGAATTCAAACCGAGTGACACCGCTGTTGTTGTTGTTGTTGTGGCTCCTCAACCATCTACTTGCAACCACCCACAATCCATACGAAATAAATTTTAAAATTTTGGTGATTTTTTAATATATCGCTATTTCATTTTTAATTAAAAAATTTACCAAAATTCTGTTAGGGTGAATTTTTTGGCCGTATCCCGAATTTTTTTGGTAATAATTTCAAATCCAAAAGCACTAATTTCCGTAATGCCGGGGATGCCTGTATACTGTATATAATGCCAGGAAAATGTAAATCTCCAGAGACAACATTACCTATTATGGGAAATCGAACTAACAACAATTGACCCCTGAACCTAACACCTACAAAACCATTGAACTCTCACATAGATCACATGAGGAATTATCAACTTGTCATTGGCATGCAGAACAGCTTTGAGTGGCAAATCCACTAGAATCCAACTCCTGAAAGTTCTGAATGTTCAGACAAATCCAGTCTGATCAAGACCGAAGCCAACTCCAAGTGGGTCTAGGCACCTTCCAGAAATAACCAGACATACAGTTACTCCAGTGATGACTACTGCATAGGCAGGACAGGTGAAAGAAGTCGTCGAATACATAAAGGGCAAAAATGAGAAGAGCCTTGGATTGGTGAAAATGTGTCTCAAAGCCCTGACAGTTCTTTAATATGGGCATGGACACCATACACCGAACTAAGGCTCCAGTTCATGAGAAGGTAGTGTCCGGCACTGCACCCGACCGCCTTTACTTCTCCAACTGCTACAATTGACACCCATTCAGAGCTGAGTGGACTAAGAATGCCCAGATATAATTAAGTGGCTCTTAAAATAGGAGGAGAGTGTTGAATTAACCTGCCATCACAACACTCAGGGACTAGCAGTTAACAGTAAATTTATATTTGAAAATAAAATTAACGACAAACCAACCAGATGATGGGTCTGATCACTGCAGCCACCGCCTGCAACTCTATTAATAAACCGTTTATTATTATTATTATTATTAAAACTTGAGATGGCTGTACAAAGTTCTCGTGTCGGCTTATATAGGGATGACGGAGTGACATGAATCCTCGCGAGATGAATGACACTCAACTGAGAATGTTCAGGAAGGCATGAAAAGTGATGCCTCGGCTGATAAACTTGAGTAAGAGACCATCGGAGAAAACAGAAAATGCCATCAAGAGCAGACAGTGGGATATTTGGTGATTAAAGTCAAGACCTCCAAAATAACACAAGGGGACATACTGCACCATAGACATGACCACCACAGAGACCACAAGACGATATTATTACAGATCACAGTTTCAAGTTCTTTTTTCTTTTCTTTTAACAAGGAATAGCCCACCCGGGCACAGGTCATCAACCCACAATGGGGCCTGAGGGGCATGAGAAATTAGAGTAAAGAGAAATTAAAATTAGAGGAGAAAACTATATTAATCTGCACCAACAAAGATGCCAGAAACCAGCTTCTTGAAGTGAGACAGATTGTATGAGTATGGAAACACAGAAGAAGGCAGACCATTTCACAGTTTGGCTGCGTGAGGAAAATGGATGTACTATAGCAGGTTATTCTATGTGACCAACTTCCACACAGTAACGGTGGGCACAGCAGGCAAGACGAAAGTTACGAGCCCATGACCTTGCCAGCGGTACACAGGATGCCAAATCCACCGAGCATTGCCAGTTAAAGTACCTGTAAAAGAGAGAGAGTAAAGCAACATTGCAACAAAGAGAAAGGGAAGAAAGATTATCAACTAAAGGAGGAGAGTTGCTGAAGATACACCCGCATGCAAAATCATGACAGATTCTCACTGTGCTCTGTGGATGTATAGAATAGCTAACCTGAAATGGATCTTATGTCTCCAAAAAATATTTTACCTTCAACAAAAGACTGAACAAGCCCTGAGCAGGTTAAAATGTCATGCTCAACTAGTTCAGTGCCTTAAATATATGTCACAGAGGCACAAGTTCGCACAAGACAATGGACGAAGAGAAACACATACAAGCATAGATCCTTCATCCAGAATATTCCTATTTAAACTAAGTGAGTTAAAGCTGCTTAAAGGCCCTGGAGTCAGATTCTCAAAGGCATCTACGATGAAAATTTCTAGTAAAATTTTACCTTAATAATATTTCCTTAGCATTGCAAGGTAGTTAATTAAGGTAGTCTTATTGTAATGTTGATGTTATTTTTTAATATTTTTTCATGTTGTTGAAAGTCAACAAGTAAGGTGCATTTTTACACCTTGTTTTTGAAGTGCATCAAGTAATAACGTATAGATCATGATCAAGAACTAAGAATACTGAACAATATGTTTGTGAGAACAAACCATTACTGTACCTATAATAATCTTAACTCACCAACCTTACCTAAATCAACCTAAGTTAACCAATCCCAATAACATTCTAAGTAAAGACATCATATGCTCATTTCTAGTAGCTGGCACTTAGCTGCAGTAATTGAAAAGTAAAGTCTTTCCAAGTAATATTCAACACATTATGACAAAAAAACCTGTGCAACTTAACTTTGAGGAGTGAAGTCTAAAAGATCAGTGGTCAATTTGGACAGATTAGGCCTAAGGGCTGTATGTGTATTCACAGCCGTCATGCCCGATGGTGTGCCCTGAAATCGGGCACCCGATGGTGGTGTAACAACTGTGTAATCACTGTGAATATGGCTCTAAGCAGCGAGATGTAACTTGCAGCACAGATATGCAATCGACTCGCTTCTCTTGGAAGGATGGGAAATGACCATCCTCATGTGTACCTGCACATCCCTACCAAATTTTAGCATTCTCCCTTTAAAACTGTAACCCCAAACATATACATACGCAATGCATATTTATATACGTATACTGTATATACATGAAGAAATTAGTCTACATTACCTCATTACATTAACTATGGCAATTTTTATCCATATAGAGAAAAATTTACAAATATTCACCTGAACTTGGAGGATATACTGTAGGTGTTTTAATTCTTGCAGAATTAAGAGATCATATCTTCTCAGTCTAAGCAAAGATTGATTTATGTATGTAAATTTTTCCTTAAACCCGTGCCAATTTTTTACATTATTTTTGTACTTTAGTTTCTATCAACCAGTTAGCTTCATTCTTATACCTGCTGTTAATTGTACAAACTTTACAGCATCGTGAGCATGAATCGGAACTACCACTCGTGTGTTTTCCTTAATTCAGTTGTGAAACCGTGCAGTACTGTATTTTGATTGCCTCTCTGTCATGGATTCATTACCACTATTACAGGCAGTGGGGACTAAAACACTCAAAAGATACAACCCCATGACAAATTAGTGGTTCAGATATCCATTGTTTTGTTGTTACCTGTACTTAATTCACATCTACGTAATTGATTAAACCTAGGAATAATATTTGTTTACATGTTCGTATGGTCCTCCGGGCTTGTTTACTGTCTATGTCTGTCATCATTCTTAAGAAAACATCTTGAGTGATCATTTTAGGTATCTGGACTAAAAAACCTCTTATAATGAAATAATCTTGATACCATGAAAAGGTAATACTGTATAATCATAACAATGCTTAATGAAAATAAAAATGTAATGTTCTACAGTATACAGGTTACAGTATTTTCAAAGTCCCTTGGTGTTTGTGTTTACAGAGTTCTTTGAAGAAGATATTATCAGAACCATCGGTAGGTTACTCATACTCCATCTTCTGCTCATAACAGTATGCCATTTCTTTGCTATGTCTGCCTGTAACTCTAAATCACAAAGGACTGTGTAGAATACAGTTATGGACTATGTACCCATGTTGCATTTGTAACTTCTTCAAGGGACTTTGCAAACACAAACTTGAAGAGACTTTGTAAACACTACAATATATCTAATTATTAGCGATGAGCGTCCCTTTGACAAGGATGGTATGAACTTCTTTTATCCACAGATTTCCTCAAGCTCTTCTTCTATGGGAGGTTTTGAGTGTAAGTAGTCAGTGCTTGTTGTTTTATGACATATTGATTAATTCATTCCAACACAAATTTCCCATAGAAATTTGTGCGTACTGTACTGCAGTTGATATGTCAGAGACCACAAATATCAAAACCAGACTGAATATGAATGAGTCCTCTCTTTCAACGGGCATAAAGATATATAAAAAAAAAGTTTCATCTTAACGTTATTTGAGCAGTTACACTGAGTTTCAAATAGAGATTGGACAGATATGTGAGTGCCTTACATAGGACAGTAGGCCTACTGCAGTGTTCTTTAGTCTTATGTTCTCAGGTGGTATTGATAGTGACAAGTTACCCATGATGCACATTCAAAAATATTATCAACTTACATTGTGACCACCATAACAGGGAACAAATTAACACTGTAATTTTGATACTACCTTTGGATATTAAATTCCTACTTCAGAGTAAGTCAAGAAGCTTGGTGTATTTTTAAGTTATGAGAAATGCTTTTCCCATGAACCTTTGATAATTTGGACCCAGTGACTTGGTTTGTACGGTTTAACAACAAATTAAGCTTGTAATGCATTCAACAGAAACACTCCACGGTTTTATGCCGGGCGCTTGCTTGACAATTGCTCAAGGTATTGGATATTTGGACCCATATTCTAGAACGGGTGGTAATATAGACAATATTTACCTAGATTTTGCCAAGGCTTGACAGTGTAACTTACCTAAAGGCTGAAAATCAAACTGGAAGGGTAACGAATTCGGGAAAATGTCCTAGCGTGATAGAAGACTTTCACATGACCGCAAGCAATGTGTGGTGATTAATGGCACGAAATCGTCATCTGTACCTGTAACAAGTGGGGTACCGCAGGGTAGTGTATTGGGCCCGCTGTTGTTTGTTTTTGTATAAATGATATGCCTGACGTTGTACACCTCTCCATACAAATGTTTGCCGATGACGCCAAGTTATTTCGGGAAATTAAGAACCAAGCGGACTGTGAAGAGCTGCAGAAGGACCTCTTTGGGCTCCAGGAATGGAAGGAATGGCTGCTGAGATTCAATGTCACGAAGTAAGAGGATGCACCTGGGCGCACTAACGTAAGGAGGCGACTATATGTCCCAACGGGATGAAGAAAATGTACTAGTGGAGACTGTGTGAGAAGGACCAGGTGTATGTTGACAATGAGCTGAAGTTCTCGGCCATTGTGAGAAGAAGGTAAATCAGGCAATAAATTATTGGGTCTTATAAGAAGGTCGCTCAGATATCTAGATTGTCCGTCTGCGGACGATCTTCAGGAGTGAAGTGCTTCCCCATCTGAGTACTTGTCACCCATCTGGTCCCTGAGATATGCTAGGACTGCTGGTTGAAAATGTTCAAAGGAGGGCCACCGCTGGTGCCTGCACCTCGCATCTCAGCTACCCCAGATTGCTCTGGAACTTGCCTTCAGCTTATACTACAGACGGCAAAGGGGGGACCTAGTTGAGGTTTTTAGCATCTCAGGGGCACTATCGTTGAGTGTCCTTACTTGGCTGGCGGACGCCGCCCCACAAGGGGTCACAGCTCAAGATTGCAAGTCCGGAAAACCGTGAGGGCAAACTTTTTCGGAGGAGGGTGAACTCTGAAACACCCACCAAAAAGTTTGGACGGCACCGAGTGTGAGCTCTTTTCAAGAGAAGAAGACTTGACCAACACTGGAGCGGTTCAGGTACATTCAGGAGCCGCATGGCCCAGTATTTGCCAACAGCGTGACAGAGACGTGACTTATCGCCTGGCGGCTAGCGAGTCAATCTTTTGGTGAAGAATATAAAGGAAAAGATGACTGAATTACCGCCTGCTGCTAACATGCCGATCAGTGGCTAAGAGGATAAAAGTAAAAAAGTAAAAGTTAAGAAGTGAAGTGGAGGTTACAGTATGGGAAACTATAATCTGCTTTCAAGACAGTAGAATGTCGATTTAAAGCTATTCAATTTAAGATTATCCATTTAAAGCGTTAAACCACAATTATGAGAATGTTTTAATTTAAAGCAAATTTTCCTATTTTACACGAGTCAATCTGGTGCATCATATTTTAAAATTTGCGCTTAATGTTTTCTCTCGGCACGCTACACTGTCCTAAGGGCAAAGCTGTACGAAATAATGTACTAAATGATTACTAATTTTTATCTAGTGCAACTATAGCATGATTACTGTATATTCAAATTAATTACTATCTTATAAGAATCTCACAATGTAAATTATATTCTCCTGCCCACTTCTGGTGACATTTTAAAACAAAAACAAAAACTCAATGTAAAGGACATAATTAAACAAATAAATTTCACTAGACTTTCGCCCCTAACAACAAACGTCACTGTCACTCTCTCTCTGCTCCCAAACCAGGGTTGGGTGGTTATATGCTTACAGTTTTATCTTATATAATATCACAGACAAAGGTTAGGAGAAAATAATTTGTATTGCTAGAATCCTTGCAAGACAACAAATAATTTGAATACCGTGATATCTCGGCCTATAAGGCGTCAGGTATAAGACGTGCCCCCCAAATTTCC